ATATATACATTATTATATATATGTATAATTTGTTGTACATACGAAGTTGGAAATACATATATCGATACTGTATGTATAGAACAGATCGACCATAATAGCATTTATGTTTATTAAGTTTATTCATTATTTATACCACCGAACTCTAGCTGTGGCCCTACAACCCCTGTAGGCTCGTGAGAGGCGCAGCTACTCGACATATGTATTTCCAACTTCTATGTACAATATGTTATAAAATAACAGATCATACTTTAAACTGTATTACGTAAAATTGTGAAAACAATTTCTCCAACCGGAATTCTCAAACCCGGGAATTTTCTGTTACTATACAAGTTATTTTTGTTAATTCAAATCAAATTAAAGCAACTATTCTTTTACACCTTCACACATACACAATTAAACAGCACTAGTTATCCATGCAACACACTAATGATAGTTCAATGATGCGCTTTCTTAAGCATTTGAGTGACAAAATCCAATTATCGTGACAGGAAGTAGTGGCATTTTAAATTTATTTAAAATCAGTTCAAAAGGATCATATCTATTGCATTAAACATTACAAATCTTGCTTACCTAGAAAAAGTCTATTAAGATCGAAAGTTATTAATAAAATTACTTGGTGCATATAAACCTAAATATTTGTATGATTCCGTGATTACGCTTGTTCTGTAATGCGGTCAAATCTCATCTCTCTGATGCCAATAAAATTTTAAACAAAAACGTTTAGCATTTTGCGCTCCATAACAGAACAGTGGAACTTTGCAGAACAATTGATCCATAACATCAGTATACAAAAAATAGGCGACATTGTTGCTATCGATGTTGGCCTAAACATTTTTTATAAATAAAAACAAGGTAAGCCTCATGATAACACGATTATACAGATTTATACACTTTTTTGCCGTTTCCTAAGTTGATGTAGCCTAGGCTTCTTAGAACTTAAAATGACTCTTTATTTCTAGCCTAGGCCTAGGCCTACTTAGGCTACACTACAGACAGGCCAAAACCTCACTCGTGAATCAGTATTATTCAAGTAGCTAGAATGACCACCATAGCCAATCAGTCAGAGAAATGCCCTTTGATTATTTTTCATTGTATTTCCTGAGCCTTAGAAAGCAATAGATACTGTAGTGATACATAGGTACATGTATACCTACTGTACATACATAGGTATTTGAATTTCTTTATTAATTTTATTAAAAAACTAAAACACTGATGATCAATTTTGACAGAAAAGACAAAATATACACAGTATTATGTATATAATAAGTAACTAATTAATATGTTGACATTAATTAATTTGAATTTCTATTTTTAACTGATAGATTCTGCTGCATCATACGTAAAGAATATGTCAGATACCGTTGCACACTGGGACATCTCTCTGAGTGATGGTGTGCACTCTGTAATCTTTGAACATGGAACAACATCAGGAAAGAGAGTTGTTTTTCTTGATGGCAAGGTAAAATGACAGTAAACATTATTGTCTTTTCTGTTTTGAAAAATAGAAAGTATGCTGATCATAGTCGTCATTTTAATGTGTGTGACTTCCGGAAGTCAATCGATTCAAATTCTAAATTAAAAATTCAAATCATCTTAATTGTAACTACTGTATGAACTGTATGTTAGATTTATTTATTTAATTTCTGTATGTTACAGTTCATAATTGGATTTACATTTTCAAAAATATATAAAAATAGAAAAGTGGACATAAAAATACATTGAAGATTTAATCACTCAATGGGTATTTAGTAGGAAGACCAAAACATACAGTTCAACCATTAAAAATATAAGAAGAAGAAACCAAATTAAAACAATAGTCATCCTAAAAGCTGAACATCAAAATATTTATTATTATTTAATTTATTTATAAAGGTATCTTTATTCATAATCAATAAATAGTACAGTATACCGTAAATGCTTGAATAAGTGCCATGGCAATTATACAATTTTTGGAGGCTTCATTGCTGCAATTATTCGAGAGCAGCACTTTCCATGCTTGTTCCCATGTATGTATTTCCTATCATAGGTCCTCGTCATCGTAAATGAACGTTTATAAAGAAATGCTTGTGCCTTCATTGTGTTATTTATTCATTTTAACACTATACATTGTATTATAAATCCTGTATCTCATAGTCTTTCATTACGCACAGGGTAATAATATACACAGCGCTTTTTCGAGAGTGGCGCCTAACAAAAAAAATCATGTTTAAATGCGGCTCTTAATCGAGAGCGTGACCTATTCGAGAGTGGCACTTATTCGAGCATTTACAGTATGTAAATTCTGAATATGGTTTTCAAGAAGTTTTTCTTTCTCACAAGAGTGCATGTGATCATACCGATTTTTCTGAGCAAATAAATCTTCCTGTCACAATAATACTTCCGACCTTCTTATTTCAATAGGAAATTTATAGGAAGAATTGGATGTTCAAATTGGTTGGACGAGAGGTTTTCTACATTGGAAAGCACAAGGCCATAATATCTATAGAAGCGACTAGTGGATTTGCATACGAGTACTCATTGGAAGTTAATGGCAAAAGTTTGAAGAAATTTACTGAAGAAAGATCAAAAACAGCAAAATGTTGGACACTTACACTGGATGGAATTGAAACAAGGATTGTGTTTGGTGAGTTAACAGCGTATATCTAAGCTGTTAAGTTGTGTTCACTTTCTCTTTTTACGCAAACAATACGATTATTATAATGGTTATGATATTATTTTATGCTTTTTTATTACTAGCAAATTACAAATTTTATGTATTTTGTGTTTTAGAATAAGCTTTTTATTATATTTGTAAGCAAATCCCTTTTCAATTTTATTAATTTATGCAACTTGTTGATTTTTATATACTGTAATTTTGTATCACCAAAACAGAACCATGTGTAAAACAGGTTATTACTCCTTCCTGATATGTTATCTTGTATAAATATGTTCAATAAATAAATTACCATTTGTGGTAAAATTACTGAGAGTGTTATTATTGGAATTTATACATTTTGTCTAGTACAGATTAAAGGTTGAAGAAAGCAACATCTTTCTAAATTCAATTCCATATTTCATAATATATAATAAATTTTTGCTCCAACAGAGAAAGACACCATGGATATCTGGTGTAATGGTAGTAAAGTACCAACAGCGGTAAGGAACTGTTTTATTTTATTGGTGGGATATGTCATTGGAGGTCCTGAATGTGATTTAAGAATGGGGAATGTGGACAGCCATGAGGACCTAACAAGCAAATTAAAGTCTGACACCAAAACATGTAGTCACATTGTAGTTCGAGGTACATGGATATGATTTATTGTATCAAGCATGTGGCCATCCAATGACCAGACCAGAGATTTAAAAAAAAAAATGCTTTGTAACATAAGAACAAACAGCTAACATGTCCTCCCAAAGCTATAATAGCACTTTTTTGGTTTATTTAGGGTGAATTTGTGGATGATGGCACAGAGACAAACTTCAACATACGGGATCATAGCTGTTATGTGAAGACAGTAAGCAGCTTCAAGAAAAGAGAAGGTATTCTGCATGCACTCTTTGTGGATGAAGTTGAAATACCAGAATCAATGCTTTAATCCAGTTATACTCACAAAGGGCTTCAATCAAAGAACAAATAACAGAAGAGGGAGCTCTTAGCGTAGTTTGCTTTAAAATTGATGGAATGTCCACCCTCCTACAAGTGGAGGAAAATTATTGAGTTGAGAAACTAATAAAACAAACAAATCAGAGTGATTACCCGACCAATCATGTAGATGTATTTGCAGCGCCCATGATTATAAAGATATAGCGCCATTGCTCAGATGGAGGAAAATTGCTCTCATGGACGTTCCACTATATTGCAAACTGCTCTATCTTCTTCTATTTATTATTTTTGCTTCAATTTACACAAAATGCATAACTACCAGGAAGAATATGGAAAAGCTTAAAGTGATACACAATTTTCAATTTACTGTATTTTAAATGCTGTACGTGTACTATAAAATCTCTTTAAAAATACACGGTCATCGAAATGAACTTGAAAATTAAAAAAAAAATATTTCTTTTTTAATGTGATTATTTCAATTATAGGTAGTTAGCTTTCAAATGAAAATTACAAACAAATTTAAAGATTTCTTATTGTAAAAGTCTGTAAATCATTGTAAAATGATTTGTTTTTATTTGTGACTTAGTTACAGGATTCTTTTATATAGGCAATTGAAAATGTTACAATTTTTGAAGTCTTGTGTTTTGGGGTGGCAGTGTATCTATAAAACAAATGATTTCTATTTGCCATTTACTTCCATTTCACTTCTACAGTGCATATTGCTGGTAGTTCTAGTGTGACTAATTGGTCAATGCAGATAAACAAAATGTTTGTTAGTATAGTTTGCAGTATGTTTTTAAAAGATCATTTTTTTATATATAATTATTTACGCTCTGTGTCCATTTTTAAATATTTATTGGAACTGTAATCATCTAGTTTGCATTGCTGATTCCCACTTGGAAGCCGCAAAACCCTTGCATTGCATCACTTTACAATGATACATAGTGTATGCGTCGTTGGGTCCTAGAGGGAACCAATTTTTACTAGTAGGCACTCCAACTTTTATATATTTAATCTTCAGTCAAAATGTTTAATAGTATAGTTTGCAATATATTATTTTTTTTGTAGATAAATTTAATATATATAAATGTTTGTGTTCTATGTCCAGTTTTTAAATATTTATTAGAACTGCAATCATTTTTTTTTTGTTTAGTTGTGAATGATATCACAGTACATTAATATTTTTCAATACAAAAAAAAATGTTATTCTTGTGCAGTTGGTAATTATAAGTCCATCCAAAATCCAACTAATTTACTTGCATTATACTAGAAATGTATTAATAATCAGTATAACCCTATTCCTTTCACACGTTGTATAGAATTTAAATTCTCATGTTTATTAAGAATTTATATTATATATAAAAATTCTGACAAACCTTAAGAAATCATTTAACCCTTGAATTACTTATGTAATAGGATATTTCAAATTGATTACTGTGCCAGCCAATCTAAACATTAAAGGAATGCTATTATTTACAGTATGTATCTGTAAATTGGCGAAGACAATTTTCTCTTTCTTGTTCTAAAAAAATGCTAATAAATTATTTTTAAAAAAAGAGTATGCAAATCAAATATTAAATTTAATTTATCCATATTTACTTCTATTTATATTTTAAGTGTTTAAGCTTTAAGTGTCAGCATGAATATTAAAGGCAGGGATTTTTTTTGTTTGTACAATGCTGGCTAAGGCCTGTGATACAAGCTTAAAAGGTGTAGTACTTAGTAGGTTTAACATTTAGGGGTTTAACATTTATATATACAAGGCCACAAAGAGGAACTTAGAAATATCTATTTTTGCTATACAGTGATGGCAGTACAGTAAAGAGGCTGAATATTCAATCAAAAAAGTGTTAGTTAATTATATTCTCATGTAGATGGTCATTCCAAAGATAGAATACCTTGAAAATATGGATCAACATTTTATCCTTAATGAGATGTAGATTAATCAGTCCAAAGATACAAAACCTTGAAATAATAATCATAAACTGTGGTATAGGACCATAATCAAATTTATTAAGTTAATTTACATGAATATTTAGTTTTTAAAAATGTATGTAGTAAATATAAATATTATTAATGTGTGTAAATATATTTTAGACCAGTGGTTCCCAAAATTGAGTCACCAAATAAATTGGAGAGTATCAAGACTAGATTTAAGTACCATTTAAACATTTTACCCATTTAGATATGTTTTTTAATGTTCTGGGAAGTTGGTCAGGGCAAATTGTTTGAGAACCACTGCCTTGGTGTTGAGCTGTAATAGTGGATTTCGGTGTGAACTAATGTGTAAACATATATAAAAATACTATACATACTGCAACATTGACCTTACTAATTATTTTATTACCATGTTATTAGTGGTTGCTTATTTTAACAATAGCTTTAATGTACTGTACTTTGGAATTGGAAAAATGGTATAGTGTAAAAGAAAAATGATCTGATAAGATTTGAACTATAGATAACCTCAAGAGCAAATTTGTTGCTCTACAAGGTGAACCATACAAAAAATATGTTAGATTTACTTATTTGCTTTTAAAAAAAATGATACAAGTATGAAATGTGTCATTATATTGTTGTGTGATGTATTACTTTTTTCCAAATGAATGGTTATACAGTATTATATTGCTTAAACATTTCAGATAGTTCGGTGGGCCATCATTCATTATCCAAAACCATTAAAATGCAGAATTGTCATTTCACTGCAATTTGTAACCAGAAATATTATTATTGTTGACTTAAACATATCAATATTATTTTATAGCTTAACAAAAGGAGTATTAAATAACCATGAACTACTGTATATATGGACTGAAACCATTGAATAAAGCTATACATTTGGTAAAATTGGCAGTGTATTCTTGTTATTTATATATTATGAAGGTACAGTAGTTCAGTATTATCCATCAGACTTAATGCTGATTGGGGCAGTTGGATGAGATTGGATGAAGTAAAAAAATATATATGAACAGTCTATCATAAACAGCTAAACTGACATGAAAAATGTTGCTTTTACCGTATTATCAACGTAACGTTAGTACTCTGGGATCCAGCAGGAATGATGATGGAGATGATAATAACAGTCTTTGTTTTAAATACCTTTTGTGAGATGAAGGGGACCAGTCCTTCCTACTCACCCTCATACAAAATTCAAAGGGGTACAGCCAGTGCAAGCAACCATGCATGACATTTAAAAAAAAATAAAGGATAACATTCTGGAACCTCTTGTTAATGCAAGCTTTATTTGTGTCTGTAAGCACACATACATTATATTCATACACTTGTGACCACCTATCAAAATACATTGAAATTGCTTAGTGCAACAATGACTGCATGATAAGCAAATTCCAAGTCATACCATATCAATAATAAGCACCGCTTAACAGTTACAGAGTTTCTGTACTTAAATATATTCTTATTCTTAGGTAAATGACTCAGGAATGTTTATTATTTTAAGAGGATTGGTAGAAATATCAAGGGTATGAGAAAATCATTGCTACTTAGTACTTTAATAGGTGTTTAGACACTGGAATGATAAATTGGTCAATAAAAGGTATAATTTTTCGGGTATTATTTGTACTCTTTGTTTATCTTTCGTTAATTTACAAGTAGCAAAAATAAAACACAAATTTGGCAAGAAAATAAAGTGTATGAAATCTGTGGAACATAGAAACCACACACAAAAACCATACAGTGAACATACCATATATACAAGCATTGAAACTTGACTAAATTACATAATAATAATTATAGGGCCTGACATTTTTACCCTTGACGGAACGACTTTCACTAATGTATTCATGAAACAGAACATGCACATCCTACCAGGTACCCATTGTCACTCCTGGTAGGAGAGATGCAAATTGTATATATCACCTTTCCAAGAGCAAATAGATATCACAGGATTCAAACTGCAAAATCAACACCCTGAACATAACATCTGCACAAACCCCTCTATCAGCTCTCTAGGGTACACTACTTCCCCCCATCTACACATAAATTTAAAGCAAAGACATACTCTACCAAGCTACAATTTGGGAAAATCCAAAATATCATGAAGTATTACTTGTACATTTTGATGCTAACAAATAGCAATTGATGCTATTGTCCAGTAACTCCATGAATTAAAATAAGACATGCTTTTATAAAAATTTGATGACAATTGACTTTAGCACAATTGGAATGATGGTGAAACAACATCTACAAATCAATAACCCACCCACACTCCATATAATTCAAGCTCTTAAACATCAAATGAACATTAATATTTTAATTACCACATTGAAGGGGATATTTTTAGCACCAACTTGATAGGTAAATTCTTTTATCACATTCAAATGTAAATCGATCTATCACCAACTTAAGGATACATATTTCTATGACCAACATGAAAGGCACAAGTACATTTTATAATTGGCAACTTGAAAGTTCTAATGATGAAAGAGACGCATGTTGGTGTGGACCAGTGTAATATAATGGTCATCGCATGCTTCGATGATCACCTGATCTTGGGCTGCACCAGATGGGGATGCAATATATTCAACACCACTCTGCAAATAAAAGTATGTATATGATGAATAATACTATATAGACACAAAATTATTAAATATTTAATTACGTCCAATTTCACTTATATCAATAAAATAAAATATCAACCACTGATTATGTTCAACCTTCTCATACTAATTAATTCCAGAAGGTACAATGAAAGAGACAGAAACAAATAACTAAGAATGGAATGATCCTTTCTGCAAAGCCCTATCCTTAGATATTGTTGCTAAGGTGTGGGACTGTAAATATGCATGTTTGTGGGCCAATTGTGTATTCACAGCTATTAAAAAAACACAATCTGCTTGATTAGAATGATCCATTGTACTTTAGTGGATGAGGTGTTGCTAATTTCTGGGTAAAATAAAAAAATGCATAATATACAGTGCACCCTCCAATTTGAGACCCTCTTTAAATTCGGAAACCATTTTTTCAAAGTACCAAATAAACTCTTCATTCTTTCATCACAAAGCTAATCTAATTGCAGATCAAACCTCTAAACCACCCAAAATTTTCAGGTCCCAAAGGTGGTGTCGAACTGGAGAGTCAACTGTATTTCCACTAAATACTTTTAGCCTACTCCTTTAAATAAAATTTTATGAGAAAGACTTGATAATACTTAAAGTATGGGTTTAATATGTAAGCCCTCACCTGATGAGCTCTATCAATGTTATCTCTAAAAGGGAAAAAGGCATCTGAGCTGAGGGAGACCCCCTTCAGAGTTGACAACCACTGCTTCCGTTCACTCTCTGACAGCTGTGCAGGAGGGTTCTCTAACAAACTCTCCCAAGCTGTTGTGCTCATATCCTAAAGAGGAGTAAAGATAATAGTGTGTAACAAAATAAATATAAAGGAAAATTATGGGAATGACTACAATGATCAGGTTGAATAAGATGATGATGATGATGATGATGGTGGTATTGATGATGTTGTTGATGGTAATGATAATGATGTTCTACTGCACTGAGGTTATAGCAAATGCGCTCAATCAAAATTGAACTATTATTACTTACTGCTGATAAATATAATAATGATGTAGCTAATAATTATTGTGGACATTTAAGAAGTGCCAATGTCCACATAAGTGTGCTCAATGTCTAGGACCATACAAGATAAACATAACCAGAAGTAGCAATTTAAGTTTGTATACAAAATTCTTAGTATAATGCCAGCATCGTACACGTTATAATAGACAAGAAAATACATAAGAAACAATACATAACATTGTGTACCTGGCCAACAGTTCCATTGACGTAGACATCGATGACATTTGACATCTCAGCTCGTTTGACACCTTTCTTGAACACCATGTTAAGTACATTTGGATGGTGTCGCAGCCACCTGATTGATTGAAAAAAAAATTGAAATTTGTTAACATTATTTATTTTTTACATAACAAACACTATCAATCAATCATTTCAATTTTATATTTATCAAAATAATATACAATAATTATTGTTAATTCTATAAAGACATATTTTTTTGTGTGTGCCATTCCCTCACATAAAAAAAAATTTTAATTTACCAAGAAACAAAGGCCTAGCGTCAAAGTTGGTTAATACTCAAACATATACAGCAAAATATCCAAGTTAAAATCCTGGCTGAGTGATTTTTTTCATGTGCAGGTTCATCTTCCTTACCATTTACAATATATAATAAATATGCAAGCATTACCGCATGACAGTATATTGTCTTTGCACATGTCTTCATATATACTTATATTATATATTCATAAAATAAAGAAAAGATTCTCACCAATGGTTTGCTTTATCTCCTGCAAGTCTTGTGCAGTGGATACGAGACTGCTGTCCAGCGCCAATGCCAATCACCTGTCCGTCTCTTGCATAGCACACTGAGTTGGACTGCGTGTACTTCAGGGCAATTGAGGCAACAATCAGATCACGAAGAGCATTGTCTGGTAACTAAGGATAGAAGTTTTTATAAAATTGTTCATATATTACAAATAATATATACAATAGCACGTAGTGCACATTTGGCTTACAATCAAACATTTCACCTGTGATTCTGGCACATTGCATGTGTCCTTGGGTGATGTGAATTCTTTGTTGAATTACTATCCTGACTAGGAATTCTTTCTTGTTTAAAGGAAGCCACAGTGGGCCTAACTAAGGATGGTAATGTATTATTTAACTCATTAATCTTTACAAATGTTATTAAACCAGATTACGATCATGGCAGGTGTGTACATTCCATTTTAGATTCTTCGACAATGCTTGTTTAGATTATTTTAAGTTTTCTTATCTCATGTATAATATTGAAAAAAAAGCATTTAAAATTTTGAAATAAATAAAATCTACATTTATTGACGAACAGTATTTACTAAATATATATAATGTGCTTAATTTTAAAACAGTCAGTCAAATTCAGTTTGAATTACACAAAACAGTATTGGCTGCATATTGCGATATTGGAAGAGAGGAAGGTATGAGGTTATGCTGAAAAACTAAACCCTGCAGTAGACCCAACATTACGACTGAACATACAAGGGAGTACCTCTCAGGGGCGAATCAAGAGATGTCCGAAAGGTGGGGCTGAAAGGGGAGCCGAAAGGTGGGGCTGATCGGGATAACACCACCTTGGGGGTCCAGGGGCAGGCCCCCGTGAAATTTTTGTGTTGTAGACGCCCGAAAATAACCTCTGAGGCGTTTTTGGGGATGAATTTTTTCTTTTCCTTTCATTCTTTCTTCTTTTTTAACCTTCCAAAAAGGGGGGCCCCTAAATCTTCCCCTGTTTCTTCCAGGTTATACCTCATTTTCCAAGTATTTTGTGACTGGGGAAAAACTTGGGTATAATCAATGAAAACAAGAAGGAAAATGTTTCAATTTACTTACATCAACTCTCTTGGTCGTCACTATATTTGTAAACATTCCTTTGTCGATGACTCCATTGTTTCGGAGTTGTTGCATTTGCATGCCGTACAATGTACGGGTCTCCATAACATCTGGCTCAAAACTTGGATCCATCTATTAAACAACAAATTAGGGAAATTTTTTAAAAATTAGAGCTATGAATCATACTTTATATATTATTGTAATTCAAACAATTGATTAATAAATGTTTGTAGAACATATTATTGCTGAGAACAACACACCTGGAGGACAAGATACTTTCCACCCTTCTTCCTTGACAGTATTTCCAATGCCTCCTCTTCATACCCAGGGGCCACTATTCCATCAGACACCTGGAAAGAGAAACATATTTCAAATTAATATAAGGAGACTGCCAATTTGTCAATCAATCAACAGATGCTTGTGGTGGAGTACATACAGCACAAGTACAATGTTCAGTGATACAATGGTGTTGGTGTTATTATTACTGAATTATATAATTTAGAAACATAATTAATGAATTATAAACTGGATTCAATACGAGAACGAAATGCCTTATATGAGAATTATAAAGCTCTGTCCAGATTATTAAATTTGCTTTGACAAAAACTGTTGTATGCCCATATATAGTCATGACATGCCTATATATAGTCATGATGTGATGTCATCATGACCATATTAAGGCATGTCACATGTTTTTTTTCAAATAAAATTTGATTGTCTGGACAGCGAGCCTAAGATTAATGTGTGCTAAGGGGTCAATGCTGAAAATAAAAACTGGATCAATCTAATAACCTGGAATCAATGTGGGAAAATGGAAAACAATGTGGAAAAGCCCAGTACAGTACAGGAATAAATGCTGATTTTGTCAATTAGAATTCTATTCCTCTTTCCTCATGTGAAAGAAAAAAAACAGCTGTTTACTCCAGACTTGCCTAAACCTTAATATTATGATGTAATTACTATTCTGTGATACTGGATATAGGAGGTAAACTGACTGGTGCCAAGTTTTCCCTGAGAAATTTTTACCTCTCTTGAAATAATCTTGGCTGTTGGCACATCACAAATATCAGAAAGTGCAACAAAGTCACCAAATGAGGACATTCTATCAGCACCTGTGAGGGAAGAAATGTTACTTGCTTCAGTCTTTTTTAAGCTCTGTCCACACTATCACATATTTTATGTGACAAATTTGTGTGATGTGGCCATATATGGGCATGATGTGGCCATATATGGACATCATGACATCACATTACACCCAAAATATGGGCACATAAATTTCATTTGTAACATAAAATTTGATAGAGTGGACAGGTTTTTGTGTCTACTGCCCTCTCTGGGCAGTAGATATTTTGAGCTCAGTTTGTCAATCCGGAAGCGTAAACATCGACTGTGAAGTTGACATTACGTAATTGGTAACCTGTTAGGGACAACAGAATCATTCGATGTGCAACACCTCTTGCTCCTTATTTACTCTGCGATGTCAAATGTAAGTTCTATGTAGGTAGGTCTAGATGTTTGATTTCACTAAATTTGACAATTTTAGGACTAGACGCAGGGTTCCCAGAATGCCGCCCTCAGCGGCGTGTGCGAAGCAACTCAAGAGTCAGAAGTGGAACGTGAATTTCGATTTGGTTTTGTAGTCAGGTTTTCGTGAAAAACTTCAGCTACCCGTATTTCTCGACTAATTTGTATGGCAAGGAGATGGTGATACCCTTAACTCGTATTAAGCGAATTTACGCTCACAAACCTTGTAGTTATTAATATTTTGGTTATAATAGAAAATTTTTATTTTTTGGTGACATCACACTCAGGCTATAGTTAGCATGTATACGTCATAAGCTAGATTACGTCACCTTAAACTTTCCCGGCGTGCTTTTCTCATGAATAAACAAACACCACTGCTTTGCACATAAATGCCTTGCCTAGCTAGGGCTACAAGAGCCGCATAGAACTAGCATGTAATACTTAAACAAGGTACATCTGCAACTGAATAATTCTTAGGCCCTAGTTAATTTTTTTTCTTATTTAAATTTATTTCTTTCGAAAGTGTACTTTCTATCACATAGGCCTATAATTGCACTGTCTACTTAGGCCTAGTCATATCATGCTACATCGTCCCTCGCTATACACAGTACATCAGTAGGCTAGCCCCCCACCCCACGCTACAGTACAGACGTTTGCTAGGCAAGAGAACGTGATTGCACCTTTCTTCCTAGGTGTTCAAGTAAATTTGCATATTGTTAGCTAACCAGCTACGTGTATCTTTGTGAAAATGAGTACAGCTGCGTACTCATTTTCACAAAGCATTTGCATCTCTCTTGGAAAGAGGGAACTTCGTAATAATTGTCTCCATATCTTCGCTAATTAATCACCGTAATTTAGCTTACACTTATGCATGGGAGGAGCACTTAAAATGTACAATAATCAAACCCCGAACTTCATTTATGCATTACATAAATAGTTTCATCTTGCTGTACTCCAACTTCACTGGCGCATGGTAACAACCAACTGGCAGACCATTTCCGGTCACACATTACTCTCCATAACGCAACACCCCCCACCCCCCTAGTTCCGTGTCCTCTGGGTAGAGCTCCTGATTTTATGTGTTACTAAGAAGTAGTATAGTATTATTACAGTAGATAAAAATTTGTTTTGACATTTCATTTTGAGTCTGTTTTTTCTGTTGACTTCAGTTGACATTACTTCAGTATAGGTTAGTCTACGCTGGTATCTGTCATTGGCCCACCAGAGACCAGTAGGCTAGGGCCTACTAACTATGAGGAGGGTGGTGCTAGGATTTGCCCGACAGGTTGTCTGATGTCTCCGACAAGAGCAAAGTGCGCGTGGTCAGGCATCGCCTAAAACCTTTTGAAATGTTGATTTGAAAAAAGTAGTAAAAAAAGAATGTGAAACAGTCGACACATGCTCCCGCTGGGAGCCTAATTTCAAATATAGTCCGAGTTTCAATATGACAAACCGCAAACACTGAATTAGAATACGGATTTCCACTGATGAACAGAACTATTTATCAACTGCCAATGAGACAAAAATCAAAACAATTCAATTTAATATTTTTCAACAAAAAGCTAGTAATTTAAGGGTCTATGCATATATGAACAGTAATATGTATGCATCCATTTTATTTTCATTTCATTATTTAGTCAAAGGAATAGACATTTAATTCAAAGCTAATATTTTAAATTAAATATAGTAAACAATTTAAATATTGCATTTCTTACAAGAGACAGTATATTTTTAACATAAAAATTATTTTAGAAATGTACAGTATATTAATTGAAGTACAATTTTTTTAAATTTCTGAATTCAAATGGATCAATGAGTTTTATTACTACAGTGGGCCTCCAATTCGAGACCACATTTTGAGACCTGAAAATCTGGAGTAGTCTTGGGGTGTGTTCTCCAATTAGAACGTGAGCTATGTGTTAAAAAATTGGAGATTGTTTTTTGGTTCTTTGAAAATGTGGTCTCAAATTAGAGGGGTCTTGAATATGTCCACTAACGGAGGGTCTACTTTCATACATAATATGTTCAGACTAACCTTGTTAGTTGAATAATGTTAGTTAGCTATGAACAATAAAAATGATAGTATGTACTCACCACGGGCCCTTGCATAGGCAGTTGCTAAGGGTGTCAACTTATCATACATATCAGCAACCATGCACAATTTAGCTTGCTCCGGACTTAGCTCAACACCAACAGCAGCCCCTTTGCATATACATCAAAGAAATAATTAATATATACCATGTATAACCCCTTGACCAGGTTTTGTGGGATGGAGGGGTGGGTAAACAATACAATGCATAATTCAAAGATATCTCTGATTTTACTGAAAGTCAGCTGGGCTACTCAATAAAATCATACTTCATAATTAATCATAATTAATCATAAATAATAGAGAAATTAACGTTCATTATTTTTATCATTTGTATATTGCCAGATTTGATCATACCTGCTGGGCTAACATGTTTGAAGGAGGCAGCAGCAGGAAGAGCAAGGGCGTGCTTCAGTTCTTTCACCAACTGCCATGCATTGAAGGCATCACAGATGTTAATGAAGCCAGGAGCTCCATTAAGAACCTTGACAGGAAGTTGGGGTTCAAATGTGAACAGCTGAGCTGGTTTCTGGTGAGGGTTCATGCCATAACGCAAAGGCATTTGGGATACTCCTCCGCAATATTCACGTCGAAAGTAGTCCGAGATCGCGTTATCGTATAGAGCAGTATGATTGAATGCCTAAATAAAAGAACAAGAATGTACTCTATTTATTGATGTCACAAAATATTGTTTACAAAAATGTAAATATTATATTTTGCTTTCAGATTTCGAAGAACTAAAAAAACTTGGGCTGGAGTGTGTCCCCAGCATTACCTTCACTGCAAGCAACTTTCTTGTCTCTAGCAAAGTGTCTTTATTTTCACTTGAGGACATCTCTTCTATTATTCTTTGAGAAAAAAAATTAATAAAAACTGTGTTAATATGATTAGGTTGAGTGTTAGCCAATCCATGGACACTATGTTTTAGAAAAGTACAAGGCATGCAACAAAAATGAAAATTTATTAACCTACTTCTCATAATCATTCGGATCACAGACAACAGTCACGCGTAAATGATTCTTGGCTGCTGCACGTAGTAATGTTACTCCCCCTGTACAAGACAAAAATGCTGTTAGAATAAGGTCTTTTCATACAGTGGTGTAACAAAGACATCTGGCTAAGGTTTCGTCATGCCATACCTTGGGAGAGAACCCTTCCTGCTTTGGCATAATTGGGTTACGTTCACACACACCATCTAATGGTTAGCAGGATCCAGATTACAAACATACGCACTCACCGTTCAGGTCCGTAGCCAGGTAATTTCAAGGGGGGGGGGGTTCTCTGGGCGTGGGGTCCAGAGGCCTGCCTAAGGGCCCTGGTGGGGTTGGGGGGCGAAGCCCCCGAAGCCAGAGCAGTTTTTGTGTTTAATGGGTCTATATAATGTTATAAAAGATCTACAGTATGTAATAAAAAGGTGGTAATATAATAAAATTAGAAAATATTTCGTGAGTGGATTTGCCGTATACGATTAAAAATTGTAACGGTACTGCATCGTGAGTGGATTTTCCGTACAACTAAACATCGTAGCGGTACTTGGTTTGGTCTACAGGAGTTTGTGCTTCGAACAGGTCATTCCATTCATAGAAGAAGCCTTTTCATGGAGAAAGTGTACCTTTTTAGCAAAGGTTTGTCTAGGTCGAAACTAACTCTGACTATATAAAAATTGATTAGAATATTGAAAATGTTATTTGTGTTAATGAATAGATAAAGATTACTAGGCCTAATATGTCCATTTTTATTGATCTAATCTACATGTATTTACTTTCATAGTTTATATTTAAATATTTAAAATTGTTTACAGATTTATTTAAAATACTATATGAAATAATGTAATCATTAAAATTTATGATAATAATTGATATTTACTGTAAATAAAGCAAAAGATTGAAACATGTTAAATACAGACACAAAGTATACATAATCATATTTCTAGATTACAGAAAATATGTAAATCTGTATTAAAATGATAAAAATTTATATAGAAATATTATGCGTAAATAAGTATTTAGTACAACAAATTAAATTTAAACGAAAATATGGAAGAAGCAGAGGAAGAAATAAGAATAGGAAAAAATTGAAAATGAACAATAATAATCATTTTTTCATTATTGCATCACGTTTTTGTGAAAATAACCCA